GTTGTTTCCCATAAGACCATTGGCTTGAGAAAAGCGTATCCTAAACAGGTTAGAAAAATACAAGAGTAAAAAGCTAAATTGAAAGATTGATTTTCTAATCCAAAGTCCAAACCGAATATTAGATGCTTTAACTATTTCACTCCAACTCCGCATTTTGTGACAGAGGAAGCTTGTGTTTCTTAAGAAGAAGCGGGTCTATTAGCATCTCTTAGCATACGACAAACAAACAACAATTCTCTATTCACAAGATGGTGAATACAAATTGAAGAAAGTACAACCCATGATATTATAAATCTTATAGGAGTTATAATTGCTCTTCTGGACCAGAAACCTTACCTCGCAGACTAGAGTTCCGTCAACATATTTGCAAGGTATATCCTCCAAAATATCGCCTGGCAGATGTCCAGACTCAATTGCCTCCAGTTGCATAAATATACAAAGAAATTTATTTTGAGAAAGGTAACAATACAAATATACAAAGAAAAGATAAGGTAGTAGAACAAGATAATCAAACAAACTTTGTATAAGCTGGTTATCATCTACATAACCGCAAACTTAGTTCCTTCAGGAATACTGAAGCCAAATCCATCCTGGAAAAGGAAAGAGTAAAGAGTGGAATGGCTTCGGCATCAGAAACTGTAAGCATTCCCACAGTCAAGTGGGGCTTTCACTCCTCCAGTCCAATTAATATTGACAGGACTTATTATTATAAAAGCTAATTACTATCAAAATGAAAACGGCCACACCATAAGGTTTTTGCTGATCAAGAGTATATAGACAGATAAATCCTTCTTTTAATTTTTTTTCTTTTTTAAAAAAAAAAGACAGATAAATCCTTATAAAAGCACAGACAGATGAGTTCAACTTAAAACTGAGCATCAAGTTTCTGTTTCTCAATCACACTAGACTTTCACGAAAATATACTACTATTTGCTAGCAGCTCTAGACCTACGACTAAGAACTACCTGAAACATAAATGTATTTTGCAAGCTGTTCATGTTAGGAAGACAAGAGGATATGGCGGGGCCGGGCACTAAATACAGGGAGTTAACAGAAGGCAAGGAGAAGAGCGAGGTGCTGAGTACATTTGGGTACCACCACAGAGAAGCTTTTTTCACTTGGTAGGTGCAATGCAGGATGTGACCTTAATGGCGGATAATCTAAGAAGACTAAGCAAATTATCGTGAGTTGGAATTGCTTGTAAAGACAATGGTGAGGGCACCACCTACTGGTGCACAGTAGCCTTACATCACAGATGTTGACCCCGGGCTTTTCTCTAGGTGCTACCAAGGACTGAGACGTCAAGCTGGAGGTAACCAATGTATGCAGTTTGGACATATTTGGATTGAATAGGAAGTTGTATTGTGACTTGCGAGTGTAAATTAAGAATAAAAATATCAAAGTGTCATTCATATATTTGTTGTAACGAGAGAATTCTTTTGGAATAGATAGTTGTAAAAACTTGATAGATGATTGTGGTTGATTCTCATTTGTACAGATATTTTACACTATCTTCTTTTGCTATAAATTTGTTAAAAAAAGAGTTTAGGAACAAAGCAACAGATGATCCACACACCCAGAGATAGAGAGAGATAAGGAAAAGAGGAAAAATAAAGCTCAGTACACTTACAGAAAAGAGAGTTTCAGATGCTCTATCATATGGATGCAATAATTTCGGAACATTTTCAGAGGCTTGATGCCCATATTCATTCTGCATCTGAAAAGGAAAACATAAAACTATCAGCCCAAAGCCTGAACTATTATATAGAGCATATGAGATGATTAACAACAAACCTCAGAGGGCTTCCCAATAGAATATCCATCCAGGAAAAGGCACAATGTGAAGGAAACTTCATTATCTGCTCAATACAGCAAAATAAGAATACTGAAAAATGCACAACTCTTGAAATTAAAAAAATAGTAACATAAGTGGGAGAGAGAACGGTCATTTGTCCTCCCCATATAAATGGAATTCCTATACAATATCTTCACTTACCAGGGACTGTGGTAACATCCTTGCTTCCATGCACAACCGCACCCTATGGCAGACAGGAGGATGTTATCAGTGAAGTTAAAATTTTGAGTGATTCTTCAAAAGAAACACAATTTATGAGGCATACTTTTTCATGATATGCTAGTAAGATTAACAGCACATGAGTCAAGTAACTATGCATGATGGATTAACTATTTGAGGCAGTGAACATTAGCTGACAACTTGGATCTCTCACGTCACCACATTTTAGAAGTCCAACTTGATCTTGCTAAAAGTTTGGCTTCATTTATGTCCTTTCTTTATTAAATTTCATGAGCTAGAAGCTCCATTTACCTTTACTGCATGTTCATTCATACTGTTCAGGATTCTTTCAGTCTCGCACACAAATCAAATGTGTGTAGGCAGGGAAGTTTCCAGCACATTCAACCTCATTTACAAAAGATGAAGTTTAGGATATTCTAATTGTACTCTTTGAGATCGTCTAATTTTCTTATAAGAATCCAGACACAAAATTGTGCATTATTAATACAACGTTGGTTTCGGCTGCACCATTGATGCAATTCTGTAGTATCAATTCAGTGTAGGAGTTCCAAGATAAAAATTAAAACATATAAAAACCAATACTTCCATAACTTCTGTGACAGTCTGTATTATTCCATACGAAATTAAATGTGAAACAAAAATACACATATTAGCAATATCAGGACACAACTAATCTTGACTTTGGTATTACAACATGTGCATTACAATCTTTGTATTAGTGTTCATTGTATAACGATCAACATATTATTATTATTATTATTATTATTTTTGACAATCCTGGTGTCAGGACAAGCTTGTGCGCACCCCGACATGTTCCACGAATTATCAACCCACTTCATTGACCACTAAGCAACACCCTTGATTCACCTTATAATTATCCATTTATTGCAATCCAAAGAACCAAATATCCCTTCAATATTTTACTCCTCAAAGTTAGTCAGCCACACAAACTTCACATAATTATAAATTCATTCATGGTTTTACAAGGAAATAAATAGTTTAGGGTTAGATCATAAGGAAAAGGATAGAAATCGAAAATGGCCGCTCAAGTGCAACTCAAAAACTTCTTTTTGCACTTAGAGCGTGCTAGAGCAACAGTAAAAGCAGCAAACATTGGGAGTGAAATATGCAAAGAACTCAAATCAATTTAAACTCATCTTACAAAAGGGAAAATTTACGAATTTAGCAGCCGAGGGCCTGTGCACCCCCGGGATTAGTCGGGGCTCAAAGAGACTCGGACACCCGGTGCAAATCCAAAAAAAAAAAAAAAAAAAAAAAAAAAAATTTACGAATTTAGCATACTGACCACCAAAAAATGAAGATTTTGAAAATCAAACCCAATTACAGAACATGTGAATGGTAAAATTACCGTGAGCTTTCCAGTCGATGCGGAATTGGATTTATTTTGTGAAATAACTGAATTCCTTTCTTTGTTAGCACCAACAGCGACGTCGTCGTGTTCTTCGGTGTCGGGATGTACTGGTTTGGGCCGAAACCTTGCACCGGTTTTGGAAACCTTAAACGAAACCCCCATTGCCGGAAAATTCTACAGCAGCGTTGATCCGGTGCCGGAGACTTAGTGAAGTAGTATCTGTGTATTGGGCATAATTAGCAAGCACAGAGAGAGAATAGAAATTGACTCGGGACGTTTTGGTTTTGTTTCAGTAAATAAATAAATAAAAATGGTTGAATAAAAAGGGAAGCCCAACTGGACCCGTTCATGATCCAATTCTCTTTCGAGATGGTATTGACCCGAAAGCCTGCTTCATGCACTTAAAAGAATTTTTCCGCGAAATATAAATTGTAAAAATTACATAAATCTCTTAAGATCCTAATTACATTATATCTCTATTCTTTTTCAAATTACAAAAATTCCTGAATATATAGGATCTCGAATTTATCAGAAAACCTACGGATACGTAGCTCACAGATTACGAATGATACATTACATAATGATAATGGGAGGGATGTATCCGAAAGGGGAGAGGAATGTATCAAGAAGGAAGGAATTTATCCGAGAGGGAATAGGGATGTATCCAAGAGGAAACTTTTGTAATTTTTTAAATTGTAAAATTTTTTAGAGATTATGATAAAATAAGATGTGTATTTATGTAATTTTCCATATAAATAACTAAAGCTAACAAATAAAGATCAGATCATTGAGAAACAAATCATGCAATTAAAATGTAGAATTTGAGAGATTTTCAAGGTAAGTTATTTACGCTTAATTACTAAATATAATAATTTTATCGTTTACAGTAATTTTATCTAAGGTGACGAAAATGAGCTATTAATTATAATTAGTAATAAATATTTTACCTAACTATCTAATATAGCATTAAAACAAATAGTAATATAGAAAAATAGAGATTTGTAGAGGGGGAACATGATCGGAACTAAAAAAGGAAGGGGATACTGGAGGTGCTCATCGACCGATTTGTTTTTTGTATTACCTAATCATTTTTTAATTTTTTCACACGCTAATAACCAAATCAATATGATATTTATTGTTGATTTTCAGTTGAATAGATATTTTATCCTTAACGATTTGATTTTCAATTTAACAATAAGAAAATGTTCCTCCATTTTATTTTATTTTGCTCTCTTAATATACATGGCCTTAATACATAAAATTCCACACAAACTACAAGCAGAAGCAAATTCAAATACGTAATTGCTAAAACCTTGATGGTTAAGAAGCAAACAAGCAAAAGCAAAAGCAATAGCAAATGCAAATTAAAATACGTAAACAAGCAAAAGCAATAGCAAATGCAAATTCAAATACGTTATTACTAAAACAAACTCATTTTCTTGACGGTTAAGAAGCAAACTTGTATGGATGCAGTAGCAACCTCTCAAGTTTATACTGTACCCGAAAGTGTTGCGTGCTAGAGAAGTTGCATCAAAATTCTCGAAACAAGACGAAGAAAATGTTCCAGATCAAAGCATGTATGAACAACAATAATGGAGCAAACCTCGTAGTATTCCCTCATTCCTACTAATAAACTGGAAGACAAAGCATACATTATACGTATTGATACACGTGGCACTCACATCTAACTAGGCATGATGCCTAAATATTAAGAACAAAAATAGAGAACATGAAAAAAAAAAAAAAAAACAAGTGTTATTAAAGGTAAACTAGGTAGAAAGGCAATGCCAACCGCAGAGCCAGATCAAGCACATCACTGATAATACATGAGCTGTTGTGCAGCAACATTCTGGAAACCGCCATCATATATAGCTTGGCTTGCTCCAGAGGCCATCCCCATTGATGCTTGCTTCAAAGGATATTGACCCATGAGGCCCGGGACACCACCCATCTTGCTCATAGCTAGCTGTCTCTCATAAGCCAAAAGGTCAGTGGCTGAAATACCTAATGGTGTGGGAGCTGGTGGAGGAAGTGGGTTTGAGGTTGTTCCAGGCGGAGTTGGCTTGTTACCCCACGAACACTGTAAGCACACAAATTAGAGCAGTTGGCAATAAAAACTTAACACAACAGATTAGTCTAAGATCACACAACTAGAGCTGAAATGGTATCAAGCACAAAGAATAACCTTAATCTGCCTTCCACCCAGAACTGAGTGGGTATTTCCCATTTGAATTGCTAAAGCTGCCTCAGCATGAGTATTGTATCTTACAAAGCCAAATCCTTTATCTCGCTGAATTCGAATTTCCTCAATCACTCCTGCACCAAGGGAATGAAAGTAGCGATGGAGATCGAGCTGTGTTACCTGAAATAACAAATGCTTGTAAGGGAAAAGTCCTTGCCAAAGGCAGGAAGCAAATTCAAGAAGGAAACTAGAAGAGAATATGCCAAGGCAGCCTGGTTATTTTGAACCTAAAAGTTACAACGTTGACATCTTAATGGAGGAAAGGTGGACACTAAACAATGGTAAGAGATGTCCTCACCTCAGGAGCAATATTCCCCACATAAACAGTGGTGTATTGTGGGTTATTTTCAGGAGCATCACTATTCGCTGCCTCTTTACCATCTTCTACAATAACAAAAAGGCAAATAAACAGGGAATTTAGATTATGATATTGACCATGTACAAAGGGGGCAAGAACGACATTGATTGAGTACACAACGAAATGAAGTACCAAGTACTGAATTCAACTAGTGTCGATACACAGTGCTTAAGCTTGTCTTGCATGAACTTCTTTACCAATTAAAGCACTGGCCAAGGATTCATTAAAAAATTACATACCTGATGAACCATTTGTTAATTCCACAACACTTTTGGCATCAGAACTCTGTTTGTCATCATTCGAGTTAGCACCTTTGGTAGCCCAGTTGCAACGTATCTGCCTACTACCAAGCCATTTGCCTTCAAAAACAAAGGAGAAATAAAATGCGCACAATCAGCCATTCAGATTAGAAGCAAGTTTATACTTGAACTTAAGGTTTAATGATTAAATAAAATCTTATAGCTTCCTACTGTATAGGAACGGTCTATAACATACACATTGAACAAAGTGAAATGTGTACAAGAACTGATCAAATGCTCTCTACCTGTTAAATCATTGATGGCACTTTGAGCATCCTGCAAAAAAAAAAAAAAGAATTTATTACAATATCGAAGAGGGGATGAAAAAAGAAAACATGAAGCTATATACCAAAAAGTTACCTGTTGGTTACGGAAAGAAACAAAACCAAAACCCCTAGAACGCCCAGTCTTTTGATCCCACATTACCCTTGCATCACTGTCATTAAAAAGGGATAATTAGCCATTGTATTTAAGCATCGCCAACCCTATCATTTTCCCCTCGTGGATGCATTTTAAACCTTCTGAAGTAAATGCATTAAAGGCATGATACAATCATTAGGTGATATTCAACAATGGAAAGAGTCTTCTGACATTTTTTAGGGTGGGTTCAAATAGGAGGATGACACTTACGAGCAACCAGGGTAAACAGAGAAGCAAGCAAATAGCATTGCATCAGTAACTTCGGGGCTCAGATCACCAACAAATATATTAAAGTGGCCTGCAAAGAGCAGCAAAACACTCTTCACATAGGTTCACAAACTAGCACCAAGAAGAAATAATGTGCGAAGTGCAAAGTTAATTGAGGGTTAAACATTGATAGATAGAAACTGAAACTTACTTGAAGTGTCCTCCCTCTGTCCACTGGCAAATGCCCAATTAACTTTAATAGGCTGCCCAAACCTGTAACGACGGAGTAAGAGTCACAGTTGAACCAAGGCCAAGTTTGAAATAGAGAGCTCATAAATTTACTTACAGATGCCTTCCATTAAGAGACACTATAGCAAGTGCAGCTGATCTACGATCATAGTAGTGGATGAAACCATAAGATGACTGCATGACAGAACAGACTTGTAAATGTCAGAGTAAGAGAGAGAGAAAAAGTATACAATACTTAAAAACAAGAGAAAGGAGGAAGTCTTAGTCGTAGAGAATTCAGACAAGCTAAGCAAGGAGAGAAGAAAATTAACCTTTTCCTTCCTTATCAGTTTACATCCTTCCACAAGACCAGTACTAGAGAAAACTTCCTGAAGAAGAGGTTCAGTCACTTGTGGGTGGATATTCCCAACAAACCTGCATTTTCTCAGAAATAAAGAAACTAAAAGATTTAAAAAAAGAAAAACAAAGGAAAAAAAATACACGAAGCCATAAGAACCTTCTCCAATAATCAAATCATAACAAATTAAAACTAAGTTAAATGCATAAAATTCAAAAACGTCAAAGCAAACAGGCAGGAAGAGAGAAAAAATAGACGGGCCCCAAAAGGACACTCACACACTGCGGCATGTGCTTGGATCAAACCCAGGAGGCAGATTTCCACTAGGTATTGGCTCAATCTGCATCGAACCAAATGTATATGAGTGTCTAAGGTGATAAGAATAAACAAAAGTAGAAAATCCAAGCATCATTCACAGATTCTATATGGAAAACAGGAAGAAATTTCATGAATCATAAAGAAAAAGATAAAGCTCCCTCTCCCAACCCACCACCCCAACACACAAAAGCTAGAAAATAACAAGGATGTAGAAGTGAAAAGAACAGACCATAAAAGCAGCATTCTGTCAGAGCTTAAATACAGCTTTATAGATGATGGCAGCAAAATGGTATCCCATTACAGTTCCAACAAGTATCTAGAAATTGTCTTTTTCCTACTTCTTTCTTCCCCTCTCCCTCCTATTTTTTGTTGACTTCATTGTGTAAGGGGGAAGAAGATATACAGCAGAAAGTTCCGTTACAAAGGACCAATTTACAACAAACTTGTGACAAAATTGAAGATAATTGATTCCCACAAGAAGGATCCCATTGAATAATCAGATTTTCTCTCAAAAGAGCTGTTCACCTAGTACCATACATCACTAGCAAGCCAAAAGAGAGAAAGTAAACCTAAGCAATATATAAGGTCTGCAGCTATTTTAATACTGAGGGAATAATCATCATTCAATTAAATCTCTAAATAAAACATTGTTACTCTATGACATATCATTTTGAGACATTATGAACAATGGGTAGACTCCTACAACAAAACGAGACTCCATAAAAACTTTAAATCCAACACCACGATAAGGTACTACCTCATGACTAGACCATGTCTCCAAGATTTGACGTTCCTAATGGTTTTAATTTATGGTCTTTTCCTGTGCTATAACCATGAATATACAAACTACATAGAGTTTCTACAGCTCTCGCAGATTCAAGTATAATTCTTTTTCACTTTCTCAAACCACGCTCACTGCCCCCTAGGAATACATCTAGTTCTCCCTTCAGTCACCTATCTTATCTCAGTAGGTTTTAAGGTTGAGCTGAGACGGTCCTTTTTCTATGAGTCAACAGCCAAACCCTTTCTTCGCATTTCATCTAGCCTTGCCTTGTTTGAGACTTTCTAAATTGACCCAGTCATAAATCACTTAGTCAAGCATAATCAGCAAGATAACAAAAGAATAAACCTTTCACTATCTGGCTCCCTTGAAGGAGGGTCCACATACTTCTTCTTCAAAGAACAAGTCTCTTAAAATTAAGAATATTGCATTTTGGACCATATATCACATGAAACTCACCAAATCTAGCTATAGTGAAAACTAAAGATGGATTTGTAGATTGTTATTTGGTTACATTTAGTTTTTTCCGCGTAACTAAGCTCATACTCCATGTCACTTCAACCAACAATCAAAATATTATTTATCAATCTTTAATACATAAGAACATAACCAAAGTCTATCTTCAATACCGATCCTCCACCTTGTATGATTACCATATATCTCTTATTTTTATACTCAATGAAACACAAAAATGATTCAGAAAATAATCTCTCAGTGTGAAGTATCTTCATAAAAACATTTTCCTTCATGTATACACACTGTAAAGAGAAATTTAAGTAGATTTCAGAAATTGAGGTGCTGCAATGAAGAGTGCACAAATAGATGCTTCCAAAAAGCCAAGTTCGAACTTATGGCATAACATGTTCCACACTTAGAAAGAATATAAGTATCCAACCAAAATTTTAGAGATACAGATAAGAGTAACCAGAACCAACATAAATGCATTTGGGAACTCTTACAAATCAATAAAGACCAGATTTATACTCTAACAGCCCCCCTTTTTTATTATTATAATTAAGTTTTTCTCTTGAGATAATCAAAGTGGGTCAACAATCTTAAGCCAGTATCAGAAAGAGTATGATCCACATCATGAGAAGCCTCATCCAACCGAGAAATGAACTAAATAAACACAACACTTATCAGCCAAACCCACCAATACACATCCAAACACTAAATTTCTAACAAAAAGCACTGCAAGTCCACCAGGAAAAAAAAAAGATCAACTTCAAGTCGAAACAGTTCTGAAAAAAACACACTCCCCTCCGTTCCAATTTGTTTGCCCTATTTTGACTCAGCACAGAGTTAAAAAAAACAAAAAAAAGATAAACTTTTGAATCATATAGTCACATATGTCAAATGTACCAAAATATCATGTCAGGTGTAAAATTGGAATTAAAATGTTGCCAAAAAAATGCACTCATCTCGAAACCGACTAAAAAGTAAAGTAGTACAAACAAATTAAAACAAAAAAAAAGTAATATCTTCCTGCCCAATATTTCCAGATAAATCAAACACAATACAAAGCAAAACCTAAAAATCGCGAATATCCACCGCGATGCCAAAAAAATAACAAATCACTCAACAAAATACACTCATACGACCAGAAAATTGAATAAATTACCAAAAAAAAACAGGAGACGAACCTGAGGTGGAGCTAAGAGGCCAGGATGATAGAGAGACTGTTGCTGAAGAAGCGCTTGTTGCATCAAAGCTTGCTGTTGTTGTTGCTTCAGCCTCTGATTCTGCATTTTCTTCAAAGATCGATTCAATCGATTGATGAACGAAGAAGGAGATAGTCACCAGCCCTTCGAACGCGGTGGTAGGGTTCTCTAAGCAAATAGAAAAGAAGGTGCTCGAACAAAGGGAAAAACAAAAAAAAAAACAAAAAAAAAAAAATTTTCCGGGTGATGATGGTGACATTTATAGATAAGGTAAACGGGTTAGAACCGACCCGTTTAGTACCCATATATAAAATGAAATGAATATATAATCAAAAGATATAGAATACAAGAGGACTTATTCAAAGATTAATCAAAATCTTATATTAAAATTATAAACGTATAATTGAATTGACTATCAAATGCAATTTCTATCATATTTTATCAACCAACTTCTACTTTTTTATTTTGTTGGAATAATTTTTATTTTTCTTTGGTATAATTTGTGTTTGGATATGTATTAGTTAAATTTTAAAAATTTATTTATAGTTAAAAAAAAATAGAGTAAGAATGAATTTACGAGTAGATGACTTGATACCCAAGTAGTTAATTAAGACGTCGATATCCGCATAGATATTCATCATTTTATTTATGTGGGACCACATTATGTCTTAATTCAGTCAATCAATATATTATTTCATAAAGGATTACAGAAAATGTAAAAAAAGTCTCAATTTGTCTGAATCTAAATCTAAGAAGTCAAAATGATAAAGTTGTCTTTCGCAATGCCTCCAAATAGTCAAAAAAGATTATATTTCAGTTTGCTAAAACTAATGTAATATTCAAGGACGACTCTAGAGTAAGACTATTGAAGTTGTTGCTTTAGACCCTAAAAATATCAAATACCCAATTTTGTTATTGTTACGTATAATGATAATATATAATTTGTATAAATATCTACAATTTAAAAAGTTTATTGAGATTTTTTAAATGGATGAGCAAATAATGATAAGTTGTTAATACGTTATTCTCTTTTATTTTTTGAGTTGTTTTTTCTCCACATATTTCATTTTTTTCTGTTTAAGATAACTTTATTTTGCAGTTTTAACATAATTTGCCTGAATAAGTAAAAAGAACTAACTATAAGTAAGTATTCATATGAATTTATAATTCATATGTTTTTCTCGATTTCGTACTTGAAAAAAATTAAGGATGAGCTACAAATAAATAGAGTCCGGAGCCAAAAAGGTAAAAAAAAATGTCAAAAATTTCAAAAGGGCACATCAATTTTTTTTTAAATCAAAAGGGTAAAATCGCTCCCTCAAGAGCGATATCCTTCGGAGAAAATTAACTCCGTTTACTCCGTTAAAATAAACAAAAATCGCTGCCCCAACAGCGATTTTGTCGATTTTTTTTTATTGTTATTTGTCAAATTTGTTTTTTTTTAAAAAAAAATCATTGCACCGGCAGCGATTTTGTCAAATTTTAATTATTATTTTTAAGCAGCCTTTTTTTAAATATAATAAAATATCGCTGCAATAGCAGCGATTCTCTTTTATTTTTTTTATTTTTCTTTTTGATTTTTTTCCAAAATTTCTTTCAAAAAAAAAAAGTTTAAAGACAAAACGCTTTGGAAAAGTAAAAGTTTGGCAGCGATTTCTTTTTTTTGGGAGCGATATCCTTTGGAGAAAATTAACTCCATTTACTCCGTTACGTTAAAATATAACAAAATCGCTGCCACAACAGCGATTTTGTCAAAAAAAAACTTTTTTTCATAAAATCTCTGCTACAGCAGCAAATTTTTGCCAATTTTTTTTTAAAAAAAATAAAAAATCGCTGCACCGGCATCAATTTTGACGATATTTATTTTTAAAAAAATTAAATTAAAATCGCTGCAATTACAGAGATTTTCTTTACAATTCTTTAAAAAAAATTATTTATTTTTAAATAGCTGCTGAGCAGCATTTTATTCCAAAACTTTTATTTTTCCAAAGCGTTTTGTCTTTAAACTTTTTCTTAAAAGAAGTTTTGGAAAAAAATAAAAAGAAAAATAAAAAAATAAAAGAGAACCGCTGCTATTGCAGCAATATTAATTTATTTTTAAAAAAAAAATTGACAAAATTGAGCTGGTGCAGCGATTTTTTTTAAAAAAAATAAATAATAATTAAAATTTGACAAAATTGTTGTCGGTGCAGCGATTAAAAAAAAAAGATTGACAAATTCGCTGCTAAGGCAGCGATTTTAAGAGAAAAACAATCAAAAAAATCGATAAAATCGCTGCTGGGGCAGCGATTTTTGTTTATTTTAACGGAGTAGACAGAGTTAATTTTCTCCGAAGGATATCGCTCCTTCAGGAGTGATTTTACCCTTTTGGTTAAAAAAAATGATGTCCCCTTTTTGAAATTTTTGACAATTTTTTTTACCCTTTTAACCCCGGACTCCAAATAAATATACACATAAATTTCATCAAAAGGTTCCTTTATTGAAATTTAATTTTAGGCCATCGATTATTTTAAGCCGCTCTTGATTACATTTTATGATTTTGTCAAATCTTTTAGATGTATAAATGTATTTTGATAGTGGAATCGGAGGAATATAATGAATACCACTAAAATATTGCTTTTTGTGTTCATCAATTGTTATTCGATCTATAGTAGTTACCTTTTCTTAGTTGGGTTTAGTACTTGTGAACATTTTTATCTTCTTTTTTTTACCTAGTGTATCGGAGTTCGTATTGGAGCTCTGATTAAATTTGCATAACATACTGCATAGTGCTCCCAACAAGATCTCTCCATGCTAGAGCTCGAACCTAAGACCTCTGATTAAGGGTAAAACAGTCTCACCACTGCATCATAACTCATATTGGTTGTGAACATTTCTATTACAAATTAGAATTTCTTACATCTCATTGAAGATACTATCTTCTTTTTATCTTATTCAAAGTTCATTTTAAAATTAAATTAGAAAAGAGAGCATGAATTTTATCATAAACTTGTATTCATCCTTTATTTATTTCTGTAAATTTATATATTTACGAGGTAATGGTAAGGTTTGCGTATATTATATTCTTTTCATACCTAATTATGAGATTTTACTAGATAAGTTGTTGTTATTAATTCTCCCTTGTATCTCATTTTTTCTCTCATTTTCTTTAATCATTTTGTAAAAATATTATTAGAAATTGAGGATTTGTAAGCATCTTGTTGCACTACGAATTAACATGTATGCACAAGTCCTACATAATATTGATATTCTTTTTATCAAAAACGTATTTAGCAATAACAGATGTGTTGTAAATCTTCTATCTAGATCATAAAATTTTATTGTTCCTCCTAAAATTATGTAGATCAAAATATCATTTTCGCTGCCTCAAATATTATATTAGGCATACTTAATATTATTAGTAACATAATAATAAGGACTAGAATTCAAAGTCAAATATTTTTTTATATGTGATACTAATGCTTTGTATGAATGCGTTGTATCAATTTGATGTATTTTGGTATACATAAATCAATACTTGTTTAGTTAGATTACTAAATTATCAAGTATTAAAGGAATTTATTGTCGTATATCTTTTCTAAAATAGGCATATGTATCAAGAATTGGCTTACACTATCCATGTGTTAAACACTGTATGTATTTTTTAAAATCATTTGTATGCATAACTAAATTGGCATCGATTCTTCACAAAATGTTTATCCAAAAAATAAGTTTGTTTAGTCATTTACATTTACAATATATATGTATATTCGAATGTATATGTCTTACTATATAACATGATACTTTAAAATATATTTCAGAATGTATACATGACACTCTTCTCTCCATTAAATTTTATAAAAATCTTCAAGAAATGCTCAATATTCATCCAAACATATTGAAAAGGTTGATGTAATCTAAAGATCATGATGAGTTACAATTATATATTATCTTATAACGACACATCAAAGACTAGATATATGCATGTAATAAATAACAATTTTAAATATACTAATTTGAACTGTCTCTTTCATGTAATATTTTGGATCCTCTATGTTTAGGTAATCTCTTAACACAATATTGATATAGAATATCATGAACATAATCATGCACCACTTTGACTTGTGAATAGAATTTATTAGCTCATTTCTTTATTTGAAATTTGAATTTCTCTTTCCAGAATCTTCGATGTATGTTATCTTTCATTTATCCTACCAAAAAATAATATTAGTGAACTCTCATTTTCTCCTTCATAATGGACGTTCGAATATAATAATTTCCAGGGCTGAATAAATTAGCCCACAAAAAAAATTATATCGAAATAACATTCAGACTAGTTTATAAAATATATACCTAATGTATATATAAAAAAAAAAGTTACATTATGTACTACGTACACGAAGATGCCATGATAAATGAATTTGATACCAAACAAATGATAATTTCAAATGAAAAAAAGAACGAAAACATGTAATTTAATATTGACTATTGTAGTTCTAAATAGAAAAACAAAAATAAATTACCATTAGTTTAAACAACACAAGTCATACAAAATAAAATAGTCTGATCAGAAATAAAAGATGCAATTTTCACTTGTGAAAATAACTTTATCACTGTAAATAACTCCTATGAGAATTGTCACGTTAATCTTGGTTACATTGGATACTCATATTGATGATTTATCAGAATGATCTACTATTCTTGATATTTGAACTCCCAAAGTCACTATCACCTGCATATGTAAGTTTGAGATAAACTACAAGATATACAAAAAAATAAAACTAAAAATACGCCGGTATTAAGTTATCAAAAAAAATTAAGGTTTTTTTTATATAAAAAGGAGAAAATGATTTATTTTATTTTACGTCAAAATTGATTTCTTTCACAATTCTTAGCTTCATAATACTGAAACATTTTAACAGAACACTATCCAATTCTCGAAGGAACTATTTGATTCAATTATAATTCCAAATGAACATTGAAAAATAGAATTTAATCTCATGTCCTATATGAATATATAATTCAAAATATAAATTAAAATTTATATTGATTTCAGTTAATATCAGTGATCAAACACAAAATAAATATAATACCAAATTAGATAAAAGCACTAACCTTATTATCAGAATAGACTTGTTCAAACTCAGTGTCATATTCATTGAGTAGATTTGCTCATGGAAGTCCAAGATTCTGAAAGAGATAACCCATATTAATGTAATTGAAATACACATAACGATTTTTCTTCTCATTTAAATCACTCCCTTATATGGTGTCGTGACAATATTGCTTGGATAAGATATATTTGGTTCAACAATATGTCATTGAAAATTAGCATTTGTTACTTTCAATATCGATATCAGACAACATTATGTTACCTGGATATGTTGTTCCATGGGGCACATTGAGATTCAAGTTGTAATCATTTTGAGTATGACGATCACCATTGTTCAATGTCAAGTCAGACCTATAATTAGTGCTTCCAATAATTGAACCTTGTAATTGTTGTGAACCCAGCGTCTCGAATGATACTCCACGTTGTTGTTGTATTACACCACCAACATTATAAGAAATCGACGAAAATGAGTTATTGAATGAATTGCCAATGTTGAGGTGATGGGGTTGAACATGAAATTGTGGAGGATAAAGTGGCTCTTGAGTTGAACTTTCCCCACTAACAAAAGTGCTATTGGTATGGAGAGTTGGAAATGTCAACTCTGGATTTCTCTGACCTTGATTTGAAATATTTTTCTGAAAATGAGGCATTGTCCCAAATTTTCTGAAGCTACTTTTTTGTTGTGAATCACCTAGAGATGTGTTGCTTGATGGACGACGATTATATTTACGCTCTTCTGGAGATCTCCAATTGTCGCTACGACATTTCTTAGAGGTGAAAAAAAAAAAAAAAAGTTAAACCATGAAAATGATAGTATCATCTTAAGTGGCAGAAATAATTTTTAATTAAAAAATATTTTTGATGTTGGATATATAATTTGTGAACAATAAAAGTCTATGAATAAAAAATTGATAATAATATTTTCGTTTAATAGTTACTACAAAAATATTAAATCAACAATGAATAGTTGACTGTTTTCGCTAAATATGTAACAAAAATCTATTACTGATCCTTTGTAGTTTGACCAGTGATTTGATAAAACTTTTCAGTACTTAAGATTGATAATAATGTTCAAAAATTTACTGATGGAAGTGGTAAAATTAATTTTTATTATTTTACGTTGATATAAAATCATAATTAAGATAATTGCAGAGAAAAAATATTATCACACAACACAAATATTTGATTAAAAAAAAATTCAAACAGAACATTTTCTAATAACCAAATATGAGAAAATAACTATATAAAAATTTATAATTTTCAAGACAATTTTCCGCATTTCAAACACACACGAATGATAAATAATCTATCACTTGAAATTTTTTAAGAGTGTACCTGCAAGTGACTGGCAACCTGCATTCTGGTAAGACCAGGAACATTCATCACTTCAACAATTTGTTTAGGATAACATCCTACATATTCCAAAAGAATATAATATTGTTAAATCAAGTCAAAGTGTATGTAAATACAATAATCGTTACACTTTTATTTCAAACGAGATGATGTTAGCTATAAGTATGAATTCTCAATTTTCATATTGCTCCGTAGAAATGAATTATATGAAAATTTCATTAATAATAAAGTAAACTTACTTCCTTCACCAAGCAATTCCAAGCTTTTCATAAATTTTGCATGAAGATCCGCAGTCCACTTTGTGCAGTTCTTTTGCCTGACAACCTTATTAATGGTAGTATTTTCACTTTCTCCTTCATTAGTCTCTTTGCTATTTTTTCTTCTGCTCTTTCTCCTCAACTTGCATTCTCCATTCGATACAATATTATTTTCAGCTTCATGAATATTATCACTTTGTTCCTCAATATCAGACACATTATTTTTCTCTCCAGATAATTTTTCATTATCCCCAACGATATTATCTTTATCAATATCATCGACATTCATCTGGTATTCATCTTTTGATTCTTTTCTGACTTCATTTTTCTGTATTTTTTTGGTCAGCATAAATTGCCACAAATGTTTCACAATTTCCTCGTTAAGTGGCTTTTTCACAAAAAGGTAAGCTCCCTCTTTCAAGGCCTTTTTTGCTAAGAGTTCATTGTATTCATCACTAACAACTGCATAATTATTTAGAAAAACTATCAGTTCGAATTGAATTATATCATACACTGTATAAATAGCTGATTTATATTCACACATATTTATTATTTTATTCATAATAAAAGTAATGTTACAAAATAATCATTTACCGTATACTTAATAAAAATTAACAACAAATAGTTTATAATTGTACTAAATTCTATTAGCTCCAGCTTATTTATTTAACATAGTAATAACAAATTTTATATCTGATTTTTACAGTGTATTAATAAAAATATCTAGCTTTACTCACAATAGATGTCATAAGCGAAAGAGTCGAATAATACTTACATAGTAAAATTTTATCCAAGGCCACAGCTTGAGCCAAAAGTTTAAAAGAATTCAAATTTGGTGAATGAACACTGATTATTATCATATCAATGTTTTTCTTTCCTTTGAGGAGCATTGACACTGCTTCCGAATATGTACCAACTATAGTAACTGCATCAATACACTTTAAAAGTTAGTAAAAACGTATACACAAAACCATTACGAAATATTATTTATTTTTCATATACAAATTTAATTATAATTTTTCAGATTATATTGCTACTCTTTTACTTTATGTAGATGTATATTGTAATTGATGTGTGCAACCTTTAGAAAGTTATGTATATTATTATTAAGGAAAAATTATTGAATCTATATGTAGAATAGAAAAGGCAAGATAATACATGTTATTGTGACAAGTGTTATCATCATGATATTTCAAGTTTGAAAATTATTTTTAGTATTTACTTCTTCTTTTCCATATATTCTGAAAATTGGCTATTGTTTTAACAAGTTAAACTAGAGAAAGAAATTGAATGATCATTAAAGATCGCTAAAACAAAAACAGTACCTAACAACTATTCATAAAGATAGATTGAAATTTGTCCCTTTTCTAATTAAGATAAATATATATATATATATATATATATATATATATATATATATATATATATATATTTTAAATTTAAGGCAAGCGTTATTAAAAGGATAAAATAACAAGTCTATAATAAGATATATTTCTTTTCGAATATGCATTTTTTTTGTTGAGTTACAAATGGAAAAAAACCATTGATACTAAGAGGAAAATTTTTAATTAGAAAAAGTATGAAGATTTAAAAATAAATAAAAATGGGCTCATCCATTTTTTCTGGCTACTTCCAATGAAAATGAAAAGTTTTCTCAAGGTCAAAAATAATAATAATAATATTCATTTTTATTTTGTTCTTTTTATTCTCTTTGCGCTATCCTAATTTATGTCGCCTCCATCACACTAATTTTTCTTTTTTTTTAAAAATGTTAGATTGATTTATAAAATTCAAAGATCTACATCTTTAAAAATTATTTTTGATGGATTTAATTAATTTCCTCCTCCAATTTTACGTTAGTCACCAATTGAAAAAGAATAATTTTTTCTTGTTCTACAAAAAGGTCAAGTGCAAAACACATATGTAAGTTAATTAAATAATTAAAATCAACTTAAATCGTTGTCGCTTCAGGAACATCTGATAAAATTGAAACGACACAAATAGTAACATAAAATTATCGATTCCCTTTTGAATAGTCATAAACATTTTTACCAAGGAACCTAATCGAGTTTGTGAAAAACTTATAGCAAGAACAAAAAATAAAAAATCTAATTTGATTCTTTATAAACACACATAACTCATTTATTAACTAGTAAAATTGTATAAACAAGTATAGAAATAGCGTTATGACCAAAAAAAAAGAAGAGAAATTCAAGATTTACTAAACAAAAGATGAATCTAAAACGAGATCGAAACTAAAATTATATCAATATCATATCAATTAAATATTTTTTGAAAAAGAAATCACATAAAATCGAGATGTCACCTTTATAACCATAAAACTCCAGCAGATCAACCATTTCAGCCGCATTCTCTTCATCATGATCAACTAGCATCACGTGAAGTCCTTCCGTCATAGCATAACAAGCAGATGCCATTGGATTATTTCCTTCAACAACTTGAGAAAAGGAGATACAAAAAATAATTTGCTATGTCGAAGACTGAGCTTAACGAAGAAGCAATTAAACCTTTTGGTGGGCGTTATATAGTATTTACAATGGTCAGTTAGTATGTTTAAATAACAATTTAATCCTTGTATTCTGTGTTAATTGCACTTTAGTCCATGTATAATTCGGTTGAGTATATTTAACCCTTAATAATATAAATATACGATTTTGATTTTTCAAACTATCGAAAGTTAAAAATTTAAAGAAACAATTTATTTTAAATGTATAAAATTTATTATTTTTTAAATAAAATAAAATTTGGGGTTGGTTTGAACCAGCATATATGCTTTAATTGAATTTTGGGTTTTCTGGAGAATGACCTTTTGTATGATTACCAATTAAAAATGTAATGATTGATTAACATGGTTAATCAATTTGATGTGTTCTTATGTTTTTTATCCATATTTAATTTTGAGTTTTCAATTAATTTTGTATAGATATATGAAATTACAGGAGAAATTAGGGAATTGATAAATGACCATTTAAGCATTTATCATTGGACCTTTTTTTTCCTCATTATTATTATTATTATTATTATTATTATTTATTTTAATTAATAATTCAGTTAATATTTTACTTTTCATTAATTTGAGGGATTAAATATGCATAATTATATTACTCGAAGGTTAATGATGCTTAATCGGATTATATAGAGGTCAAAACTTCAATATACGTATAACTCAAGGATCAGAATAGTAATTTTTTCCTATAAATAATTTTTATTTGACCTATTTAATTACTTTTTTTTCTTTCTTAAGTCAAGACAAAGGTATACTTTTGTCTTTTTTTATTTTTTTATTTTTATCAATCACGAGTTTAATATGAAAGGCGATGCTTGCTTGAAAAGATATTATTTTACAGTCTTTAGTTTCTTTAGTGCAGTTTCCAAGAAAAAAAATTTAGTTATAAGGAAAAACTACTAATGTACGACCCAAAATTTATCACACCTATCCCAATTCACCTATAGGTAATCCAATCTTCCACCCAAAGAGAAAATCAAAATGATATATGGAAGTAACTAAACGGAGAAAGGTCTAAAATGCCCTTTGAGTATTTGAATTGGTATAAAAATACCCTTCATCCATCTTCGGCACCAAAATATTCCTGGCGCCCACCTTTTGGCTCAGAAATACCCTCGATGTTAATCCTTTGAGTCATATTTGTCATTATTTTTAACAACTCCACTAAAGTAAAATTATTAAATATTTTTGTCACGCTCCGAGCCTACACCCTGGATGTAACTGGCACTCGAGAACCATTATTGGCCCCAAGCGAACCCTTGGCTTGGCTCAACTCTCAGCGGAAGACTTACTCAACAACAAATGAACCTCAAAAGTAACTCAACTCATAGCAACATCATTACTAAAATCAGTTTAGCTCAATATAGTCTGAAATGTTCAATAACATAATTGTTTAACTCAAGTCTTAAACATTTAACAAAGAAATGGAAAAGACTCCTCAAAACACTACTATCTATGAAACATCTAATGACAATGATAGAAGTCAGGACAAGACCCACGACATCCTAACAAAAATTGAAGTAAGTGAGAGTCCTCCGAAAGCAAGGGGACTCACCAAAGCAACTCTGGAACTGCAAATGGTATCAACTATGCGTCTGTTGATGACCCTGAACTCATGTATCTGCATCATAAAAGATGCAGACCAAATGACATCAGTACATAGAATGTACGAGCATGCAGGGGGAACACTAAAGCACATACATAAGCTTGAACTGATAAAAAGGAAGAACATACTCACCTCATCTCAACTCAACTCAAGGATACTCAAACTCAAAAATACTAAACTCAGTTCAATATAAAAACAACAATAGAGATGCATTATAAAGAAAGCTTTTAAAACAGTATATAATAACTCAATGTATTTAAAAATACAATAATAACTCTTTACTCTTATTTGGAAGATTCTCTAACTAACATGATTATATGATTAAGTGGGTCGGGTCTAGTTAAAATTGGGTAATTTTAGTTGATTTGGGGTTTTCATCCAATTGAGGGGCACAAATGATGAAATTAATAATGACGGAGTAAAAATAACTTCATTGTTAACGATAAGGGCATAGTCAACCAATAAAATAAAGTTCAGGGGTATTTTTGACCCTTTTCCCTTAATAATACATTAAAATTACAAACATATCAAAGACAATTTAGTAAAATATAATTCTAGTATTATTTTAACTCTAGCTGAAACTGGTCTCTAACTTTTCTGATTGCAGCCTAAAATTTCGGTGTTGTCTTCTTGAATTGCACCAAAAAATTGTGATGAGTTCTAGATGCGATAAGTGTTTCCTTACTCGTAACTAATTCCAAAGATATTGTATCGTCTTTAACTTCATCATCAATATTGTTTTCTTGTTGGTATCCATAATTTCTTCTAAGCTCTTAACCTCTGAACATTATCATTTTTCAATCGGACAAAATATTGATATCCATTTTATTACGGTATCCGATACATAAATTAGTAAGGTATAATTATTTTGATGTAATCAAAATTAACCTTTATTCAATCTCGAAAACACACTTTAATTAATGAATATTAATTTCTCTATTAAATAATACCTCTTCAAAATAATGATATTTCTTAATCCCGATAATAACAATTTAGAGAGGTTCTACAATATGTCAAAAATCACACGCTGACCTAACAAAGTTATCGCTTGATTCCGACATCATTAATCTAAAATATTGAATTTGGCAAAAACTTCAAACCAAACTTCCAAAACTCTTAATCTTCTCCGAAATACTTACATATTCTTATCATCATTAACATTCAAAATCATCATAAAAATAAACTATTATATCCTCCACATTGAATTATTATTAAACTTTAAAATGTATCTGTAAATTATTAATATATTTATAAAAAATTATTTTCTATATTCTTTTATATCAAGTACAAACTCAATGATTTTGTTATAACGCCTACCTTAAGGAATACGAGACCTCAATATTTGAATATGTAATTATTCTATTTATTACCTTTATTTGTTCACTTTACAAATAGGCAATACTATAAGTAAGTTATAGAATATTTAAATTATTTTTGCCTATTCCCCCCCCCCCCCCCTCCCCCTCCCCCTCCCTCTATTCTTCCCTTTTAAGTTATAAATTTATATACTTGCAAATTACAAGATAACATATAAAGTTCATATATGAATTTTTAAAAAGGGACGAAGAGGTGGCTTTAATTACCAAAATGAACAAAACAATGAAAGAAACAAAATACCAAGGGCAAAATTGTAAACTACAAAAGTATTGTCATAGGACACAAGTGAAATTTAACAAAAGTCATGTCACCCTTAAATAGATTCTACAATGCGCAATCCGAATTTAGTCGATATTGAGTGGAAAATCAGAAAAGAAATTTTGGCCAATTGAGACAATAGTATAACTTTTGAAGCCTGAATTTATAAAATACCTAATCAATTTTATTTTTTATGTAATTCCTTGACTACCTATATAGCGGCAAGCACGTTGACCATGAGGTTGCCTTCTTGTTCTCACTTATATATTTGTAGTAGACTCAATTCTAACATTTTTTTACTTCGATGAATCCCTAAAGAAAATTCTGGATATATAATGGCTTTATTAATATTTTGCTCATTTTACTTTAATTCTAGTTTTGCTTAATCCATATGAAAGTGGATTTAGCATCTCAAACATATTGGATTTATAAATAATAAATTGATTTAGTATTAGAAAAATAGTGAATTGAGCTTTCGAAATGACTTAAGGATTTTCATGTCCTTTCAAATTATTAAACAAGGGTTTATTTCAATTCATGTTTAAAAATTAAGACTAATTATTTAGTTCATTGTCTTAATTCGGATAAACATGATTAAAAGTTAAAGTATTTAAAATATAAACATTGTAATCGTTTCATCCTCTGAAACAAAGAGAACAAGAAAATGATAAATAAATTTATTTATTTTTTCAAATTATGTTAAGTTTTATATACTATCAAAGAAATTCATTTGAAAAGTTACATTTTAATCAAAATGTTTAATCCACCAACAATCATGTTTGCAGATATTTTGAGATGCTTAATTCCTTTCTTAAAAAATTATTTGAATCTTTACTCGTTTTTGATTTAAAATAAAAAATTTCAAAAATGCCTTTGAAAATAATATTTTAATTTTTCGTAAAATTAGATGGTGACTCTACTGAGCAACTAAATACACACGAATGAAAACGTTAATGAGTCTCAAAAACTCTTCATAAATAAACAAATGAAAAACTTAAATTAGAAGAAGAAATCAAATGTCAGATAAACAGGAAGAAATAATTGTAAGGCAAAAAGTAAATGCAAAAGGACAAAAAAAAAGAAAAAGACTCCAAAGCATTAACTTCTAACTGTCAAGTTATTATAATATTTTTAACTAATATATATATATATAATTTGAATATTAAACTATTATAATAATCTCAACTAAAAACTGCCTCATTTAGTATATCTCTATATTTATTTATTTATATTAGGGATAAGGGTTTGAAAAATATTCCAATTTTGGTCGAATTTGTTGTTGCGATACTAAACTTTCATGATGACCTATTACCTCCCTAGACTATTTAATACCGTATTTTAAACATATATATTTGTCCATGTGGACATAAAAAATAATGCAAAATTATAAATAGTAATGTGTCCACGTGGGCACATATATACTTTTAAAATACACTATTAAATAGTTCAGGGGGTAAAAAATACGGTATTAAATAGTCTAGGGAGGTAATAGGTCCTCATGAAAGTTTAGTATCGCAACAACAAATTCGACGAAAGTTGGATATTTTTCAGACCCTTATCCCTTTATATAATATTAAAAGTAGACACTTTTTCATATTAAAAGATTGTGATTTTTTCGAATGGTTGTGACTTGTGACTATTCTGATAAGACACAATAAGCAATTTGTTGA